CACCACGCTCAGCCAGTGAGCGGGAACCGGTCTCCACATGGGATCCGAACCCTCGGCGGGAGCGCTGCCGCGCTCCCAAGTGGCACACTCTCCAGTGCACCACCGGGCCGGCCCAAGATTTTTCTTGTTTTTAATACAGGTGTTTACACGTATAAATTTTCCTCTAAGCATGGCATGAGCCCTGCATCCTATAAATTTTGATATGCTGTGCTTTGATTTTTTGTATCAAAGTACTCTCCAATTTCCCTGTGATTTTTCTTTTTACCCAGTGTTTATTTAGGAGTGTTGTTTAATTTCCACACATTTGTGAATTTTCTAAATTTCCTTCTGTTATTGTGGTCAGAGGACATATTTTCTATGATCTTAGTCTTTTTAAATGTATTAAAATTTGTTTGTGGCCAAAAGTAAATAAATAAAAAGGAAAAAAAGAATAAATGGTTGAAACGTACAAAAAGAAAGTGTAGAATATATAATTGTAGAATATAATTGTAGAAAAGAAAAAAGTCATAATTGTAGCAATCATAGAAGTTAACTCTTATTAAGTACTTGCTGTGTGCTAGGCACTGGGATGAGTATTTTACATTCTGCTCTATGAGTCAGATATTATTATCTCCATTTTTAAAAGAGGAAATGGAGGCTTAGCAAGGTTCAGTAACTTCTTAAAGGTGCAATAGCAGGCTGAGATTAGAAAAATAATTAAGATAATAACCATTTTTATTTTGTATTTATTATAGATATAGGTTTTACATTTTAAAAAGGCTTGACGTTAAATAAAAGTGACCCAAATTATTAATTCATGAACATATATCCTATTCTGCAGAGCAGACTGATTTTACAACTGAAAAATTTCAAAAGAGATTAGATGTTTTGCTTCTGATTGCACAGTTGGTGAATAGGAGCTATGGATGTCAAAGTCTTCTCTGCATATTTTTTACATATTGTAGCAGCTTTGCTTTCTTTCAAGAGCAATGGTCTATATAGCAAAGTTCCTTATTGGTGTCACGATTTCTTCTTACTACATGTTACGCATCATTCTTTCCACAAATTCAAGTTTTGCTTAATGCTATTTTGGGAAGCACAATCAGGAGTCAAGAGCTGCAATAATGGGCTAGTTTATTATTTATGGCTTTCTTCCAACACTCCAGAGAAGAATAGCAGTGGTGGTACTCCTTCAATTTAGGGGCAAATCCCAAACATGAACATGTGGAATACTTCATTGTAGTGACCTCTAATTTGTAAATTATAACTCTTAAAATAATGTGAAAGAGGAGAATGAGGGTAGGAGTCCTAGAAAGATAAAATTCATAGCTGCTACATTTCTTTGGAAGATATTTTACAGAGAGACTTTGGCAAGATCCCATGTAATAATGTTCTGCTTAGGAATAACCTGCTGAGCTGCTAATGATAATAATTTGACGTGTTTGACAACAGAAGACCAGAGTAAGTCAATAGTAGTTTTGACCTGCCCTTTGAATGCAGTTAGCAAGGATGTTTTCATGTTTCTTTTGTTAAACTTATAAATTAGTATGATTTATATAAAGATCATAATTCTCTGCTTGTGGCAAGATAGGAAATTTTTAAAATATTGGTTAGATTTACTCTTGAAAACTTTGTAAACCTGCTTTTCTTCATTGCTAATCCTAGGATTTGCCTTATATTATTTCCTTTGGAATAATGATATGCACATACATTTTTTTCTTGATTTTGACGCAGCTTAGGGAAACCATACTTCAATGTGTTGTTACTTAAAACAAATTGCCTCTTGGTTTTAGCCCTTACTGGAGTCATGATTTATTTTTCACCTTTCCCAGAGCTGATTTCAGATTCAAGTTTTATTTAATGCTATTTTGATATTCATGCTATTTGGTATTCTTATGGGTAACATAAGAATGATAAACCTCCTAATGAGGAGAATGTTCTAAGTTGGACTTTCCTAATTAATTTTCTTTACCATGATATTATTATGAATTTCAGAAAATAAAAACAGAAATATAGCCTTCCTGCTCCAGCTTTCCAGTCTGTGTAGGTTTATAGGTTTCAGATCATAACACTGTGTCAGGCCCTTATGTTTACAATGGAGGTAAGCCTGCCATGAAGTGACAGACAAAGGTGTCCAGCCACACTCATTTCACAGATTCAATAATAAATAAATAATGGAGCTCTATAAATATCTTCTATATTCAGGGATTATTTTTGGATGCCATATCCCTAGGCCTCTTGATCCTTGCCTTTTACAATAATAATAGGCTATCTTAAAGATCATCATTAACTTTTAAAATAAAACATTCTTCAGTTCTGATGATTCCCTGCCTCGTACACTTCATCTGTGGTTACCATTACAACAAAAGTATGCTATGTATGTATTCCAGCCAGCATTTACTGAAGACGTGCTGTATAACTAGAACTGTGCAAATGCTTTCGCCTGAATCATCTCTTTGACTCTCCTTACCCCGCCCCCCTCCACCCCTAACTCCTGCTGCCAGTGAGATAGTGAGATGGTTATAGGTACTCTCATTTTTTTCAGATGAGGAAATTGCTCCTCAGAATTATAAATCAATGACACATCTATGGCCACACAGCTAATGAGGGACAGGGCAGAGATTCCAGTTTGAAGATTTCTGACACCGTGTCCTTAACTTGGTTAATGCTGGAATCCCAAAGGAGATTCTATTCCAAACTACTGAATTTACAGATGAGGAAAGCAAGCCCCAAGAAAGCAAGCCCCAATGAAGTTCTAATGTGAATTTTTCTTTGTTTTCTGAATTACTGTCTTTCTCCATTCATCTCCAAATGCATTTCGAAGTAAAAGTAGAACTACGTCCTCATAGGTACACACTATCTCATATTTCTTCCTGGTGAGCCCACCTCTTCCACTATCTGGTGATGATTTCTACTCCTGATCCACCCCCTCCCCATCCCACCTCTTCCCTGAGGTCCAGATGCCTTTCTCTAGTTTTTTCTGAACGTCTCCACCTGTATGTTTCTGGAGAAAAAACTTAAAATGCAGGTTATATAAAAATTGAAATTGTTAATGTCTTTCGTAAATAAGATTCCTCTAAAAATGCTGGGATTTTCTAAGGATTGCCTTCTTAGTGTAGTTATCCGATATTTCTCTCTGCTCTGATTGCTTTACCTCCTTTCCTTCCTTAAACTTAAGGTCTATAAGCTTTTGATTCCAGAATTTTCAGCTTTGAGCGCGCTCCTGAGTTTAGGATCAATTTTTTCAGATGTTTACTTGATATATCTTTCTGAGTATACTGCCTGTTTTTCAAATATAACAGTTTCTATTTAAAACTCCACATTTCTAACATTTCCAACAGTATCCTCTATTTGCATTGTTGATTTTGATTAAAGATTTTATGGTTTACTCAGGTTCTTCTATTCTTACCTCAGTCCTAGTCTGCACATCTAGTTAAGTATCAAATTTTAACAAGTTTACATTTGAAATGCCTCTCAAATTTGGCTTCTTACTTTTGTTCTTACTTCGTTGCCTTCATTGAGGCAGTGTGTTAATCTATAACCAGTGTCTTTGCACTCTAATCTAGCCCAATTTTAAAGGAACTGAAAGAGCATTTATGGGGTTTCTAGAATGTGCCAGGCACTGTGCTAAGGTGCAAGGAAGTAAAAAAAAGATTCAACTTTTGGCTTGTGTTATAATAGACAGGTAAATTTCCATAACTTTGTTTATATGTATCTTCCTCTCTATTCCTCCCACATTTCCTCCTTTCTTTTATCTTTATGATACAAACTCAATAGAAGTAATTAAAGTCTGTTGACACTTTTATCCATAGGTATCATGCACCATATCTTTTAAATTTATTATCTTTCAAATCTTGCTGTCAAGTTTTTCAAATAGGAAGATATGAAAAGGGTATTTTTGAGCTATTTAAAAGTATATGCCTAGTTTTGGGGGTAGTTGAAATGAGATTTTAGAAAATCATTGGAAAGCCTGGAAGTAAGTTAAATGATTATAAAATATGAAAAAAAACTGTAGTATTTTCAAAAGCATTCTCATTTGTTTGTGCAGATACATGTTAAATTCTATGATGTCCCTGGAGTGCATGTAAAGTAAACCTCTTCTAAACAGAAGGTTTTTAAACAAAATCATTTTCTTAAGATTCCTGAGGTATTTTAAAGAGAGTTTTTAGTGTGCGAAAACAACTTTCTATAGTTTGTACAAAAGAGGTTGTCAGATTTAATTCAGTACTTTTCTGCTGACAGGTACACACTGGTGGATATTTTGCGTGCCATCTTACTTTCTTTAGAAGCCATGATTGAAGATCCTGAGCTTCAAGTGAATGGGTTTGTTTTGATCATAGACTGGAGTAACTTCACCTTCAAGCAAGCCTCTAAACTTACACCAAGCATGCTGCGATTAGCTATTGAAGGTCTTCAGGTAGGATATACAAATTATCCAGTTTCTTGGTGTCTCCTGTTTGACTTTTGTCTAGTGAGTTAGAATAACAAAATGTCTCTCAGAATAACAAAAGCAAACAAAAAATTTTTTATGGTTTTTGAGCACAAACATTAAAACAGTAACCAAACAAAGGTTTACAGAAGAATAGCTGAAGTATGTCAGTCTTTTAACAGATTAGAGTTTCTGATACGTGACACAAGTGCTCATTATGTCTAAACATAAATATCTGTCATGAGCTGAGATTTTTATCTTGATGACCAGAATAAGCAACATTTTTTTTTGGATTTTAATAATTAACTATTTAGGGTTTTTTTTTTGGGGGGGGGTTCTCTTTCCTTTTCTGTGTATATTACTTAATTAGCAAAACATGTGCTTCATTATTTCATTTAACCTGGTGAATTTGGGATATGATCAGCAATATCTTCACATGACCTAAAGTCAATCAATGTTTTTTGGTCTCTAAGATATAAAAATCAGTGTTTTGAATTATTCTTTGGACTTAATTGAGGTTTTTGTTGTTCTTTTTTGGGGAAGGGGCTATCCTATGGAATTTATATGGGAATTGTGCATCTTCCAGTGAATGATATTTAACTATTGGGAATTTTAAAATGGAAAATGAATGATTATTTATTGGTGTGTCATAAACCTGCTATTGTCAATTTCTTTTTAACTTTTAGGACATTTTTCTTCTGTTCTCTCTCTACTTTGCTTCATGCCACTTTGTGTGTAATGTTTATGAAACTGATTTTAAACTTTTAAAAATATATCCAAGTTAACTCTTGAGTGATATTATTCAGTATTTATTCTCTGTATTTCAACATGTATTTTAGAAGTTTGCAAATTAGTTAATTTTTCTAACTGCCACTGAATATATCACTCGTTTAAAAATAACAAATTATATTTTTGTCATTTATTAGGTCAGGATGTTAGCCATTTTTATGTTGAGTAAGCCAAAATTATTCAGATCTCTGCTCAGCAATAATTTCTGACTGCACATATAGGCACCTAAATTGATGACTGCTGACCCTCCAAAAATGGGCCACTTCTCCAGGTGGCAGGACATCTTAACCAAATTGAATCCACAGTTTGATTTCTGCCTCTGGACTGAATAAGACACACTGATATGTCTTTACCGCATAGTTTTTTCCCACTGCAGTCTTCCTGACTTGCTCTTGGTGAGTCAGCCTTGCTCCTGTCTTATCTTAATACCTGTTTTTTAACTCCACAGTGACAGTTTATAAGGGTTGGGAGAGGGCACAAGATAATACATTTAGGAAATGTGTATATCATGTAGAATCAATCCTAATTCTGTCCTGTTGCCAGCAATGTATAAATTATTCTTTGGCATGTAAAAAAAATTGGTTACTACAAACTATGTTCCTTACAGAAGGGTAACCTAGCCTTTTATAATTGTTGTCCCTACTAAGCCTGTGTGTTCTCTTCACACTAGAGGTAGGCCAGGCCTTCATGTGTATGAAGGATTGAAAAACTCATATTATTCCCAAGACATTTTTTTAAAAAACACCTCAAGGATAGACTTAGTGTCTTGCTATTTTGCAAATTACTTGTTTGATAATAATGTGATAAGTCATTGCAGGAGAACAGATTGCCAACTCAGAGAAGTTTGGGACTTTCCTCATTAGCCATGGCCACTATCAGAACTTCTTTAAGTGTCCAGAGAGGGAAGTGGTCCCCTTCCCTGCATGGACCTGTGCTGGCTGCACACAGGGAACTGCCATCTCTCTAGTCCCATAGATATCTCAGTCTCCTTCTCCTTTCTGCCAAAACACAGACTGAGTAAGCAGGGTTGATTCCTCCTGATTGCCAGTTGGGAAGCCACTTAAAAGAAGAGAGCTCTTCCTGGGAATAAATTTGACATATTAGTAACCTTTAAACCTTTAAATTTTTCTCTAGTTCCAATTGATTTTTTAATGCTATATATTTATATCTATGTTTATGTCTGTGCCTGTGTCTCCATATCTGTATCTAAAAACAATGGTAATTCTGAATAGGAATGTAGGATTGCAAAGAATGTTCCATTGTGACATGCCTGATCTCAGAGTTAGTCTCATTTTGAAGTAATATTTTATGACTTTTTAAATCAAGTTTCTGTACTTTGTATTTACTATGTGAGAGAAACTTGTGCATTGCTGTATGTTTCATTCAGAATAGGAATAAACATTTTTTTCAAGAGTAAGATAAGACCACCACATATTTAAAGATATGTACACAATTTTAAGTTCCTAAACACAACAGCCACCATCACCAAGATCACCAACACTGCAACAAATAATAAACCTCTTCCAGTTAACCCAGTCAGGAAAATTAAGAGATGAGATTATTTTTCATAACTCAGTGATAACTTGTATCATTCCATAATTCTGCTATGTTACTTTTATTTAAGCAAACATAAAATATATTCTAGGGATTTGAATCAAAAATAAGAAAAGCTACCAGAAAGTCTAGTGCTGGAGAGGAAATTTATTTTAATGATGTGTATTATGAATGGGATGTAATTGTGTTTTGAAGAGGCCCTGTTTCTCTTCCTCTTGAGTTGGCTGTATAACCTGTCTATTAACATCACTAACTTCCTTTTTCTTTAAGCAAAAGAGTATTTTGAGTTATCTAGTTAAAGATAGTACCTGATACCTCATAGATATTCATGGAGTATTACTATAAGTTCAGACATGATCACAGTACAAAGCCGATTAAGAGAAAATGTGGAAGGGTGGAAATAGAATGGACTCAAGAGTCAGACAGACCTGAATTTTGGATGGCAATCTTGCTACCTGTCAAATACTTGGGAAAATTACTTGTGTGAATCTCAATATACTCATTTATATGAATTTTAAAGTGTGATTATATTAGAAATAATATATCTTGCACCTAGCTGGTGATATTAATGATTAAAGTAATTGATGAGGATTAGCTCGTTTTCACATGGCATCTTTTCTGCATGTGTGCTGCTTTTTTCACAATTCAATGGCTGCCTAAACTGTGATTAATTAAATTTGATTGTCTTTGGGAACCTGGATAATATATTTTTCTTTTGGTGTTCAGATTGTAGATACACATATTGTGTATTTTTTTAATATCACTCCTCTGTGGTTAAATAGCATCTAGATATTTTCACATTAGATGCCAAACAAAATATGTTTTCATGTTGGAATCCAAACAAAGAATGATATTGTTCCACTTGGTGAAATTTAATCTTTGTTTCTTTTGGGAGAAGCTACAGGCACAGCTGGAAATGTAGTTGTGGAGATACCCTTGGCTTTGAGGGTTGAGCAAGCTTTTCTAAGTGAACAAAGACAGGAATGGCATTTCAGGCAGGGGGACATTGGGAAAGTATTTTGGACAAACACACAGCTATAGGTGGTTGAAAGTACATGATGAATCTGTTTTTGTCCCAACCCGTGGGATATTCAACGCAGACCCTGGAGGGTGGAGTGGGAATTGGATGGGACAAGATACGTGAGAAATGGAGACAAGACAGTATTCTGATCAAGTCTCGTTTATTAGCCAGAAGGTCACAGCTTATATAGCCAGCAGGAGGGAATCAGCAGATAAGGAAGTGAGCAGCAGATGGTTTACTGAGAAAACCACAGGGTGGGTTGTTCCGGTAAATGGAAAATTCCTGTTATCTATGGCAAGTTGCAAAGTTACCTACACCCATAGTGCACAGGAGGGGGAGGGACAGAAGATAACAGCAAACAAGGCTCTGAGGCCTTGAGGCAATAGCTGGGCAGGCTCTTTGGCTCTGGACAGGCAGGCAGCCGGGCTCTATGGCTCCAGACAGGTCCTCCTTTTTAATTTTTTCAAGCCAAGAGAACCTCTCGGGAACTGTGCCTGTCTTAGGTTGGGGCAATCTATCCCTCACACATTACCCATCATAGGATTAGGCTGCAGCGGAGGTGGCCCTCCTGTCTTAGGTGGTGTGGGGATGTTACCCTCTTACCCATCTTTGGCTATCCAGTTCAGCTCACAGAGGCAGCATTTGTTAAGGTGAATGTAGTGGTATATAGGCACCACTTAGTTCTTGCATCTCAAGGCGTTGATAATGGACCTGTATAGGCCTTGCCTGAATAGCCTCAATTTGCTGTTTAATGAATGCCATAAGTTTGTTGAACAGAAAAGGACCCAAAGAAAGCAAAAGAAGCAAGCCCACAAGTGGCCCTAAAAAGGGTAAGAGATAAGGCAGGAATCCATTAAGTCCAGTCCAAAGGGGATTTTCTGTCAGTTGTTTTCTATACAGTCTCGAACTATCCCGGTTTTGTTGGCGTAGAAGCAGCATCTTTCCTGTAGGGTGTTTGTGGAGTTGCTCCAGTGTTATTATTTATCCAAATAGGTGTAGCCCATCCAGGAGTATACCAATAATGAATAGGATCTGGCTTGGGCAAAATATTAGTATGACTGAATTTGTCAGCATTTTGTATTGAATTTAAGTCATCATGTTATCTATGTAGTTATTTCACTGTGAAAAAATTGATAGAATTCTTTTTCATCATTTTGAGTAGGCCAGTTGTTTTCTTCTCTTTTCTAAGTCGTCTTGTAGTTGTTTGATACGGTCTCAAACTATCCCGGATTTGTTGGCATAGAAGCAGCATTTTTCCTGTAGGGCTAAACAGATACCTCCCTGTTCTGTAGTTAGTAAATCTAAGTCTCTTCTGTTTTGTAATGTTACTTCTGCCAAGGAGTCTAATTGACCTTGAAGATCATGTATAGTTTGAGAAATCACTTGTACATCCGAAATCAGCTGGGTAGACAATTTTGTGTATTGAGATAGAGAATGGGTGAGACTGGCAGTTCCAGTAGCAACTGCTGCAGAAATTCCCAAACCAGAAAGTAAAGGAATAAGCTTTTAGATCTTCCAGCTATATGCTCAAAAGTAGGGACAGGGACGGGCTTGCTCCCAGATATAATATCTACATCGGGCAGAAGGAGAGCCAAAACACATAACCCTGTCCAGTTAGTGGGTA